GTGCAGAAGGAAGGGGGTGGAGGGAGGTGGGAGCACAGATGGGGGTGCAAGGGATTTGGGGATGTCCCGAGGTGGGGGGGCTGGCAGTGCACGGGGAGGTCCGGGGGTGTATGGGGGTCCGGGGGTGGTCACCCAGCACCCGTGGGGCAAAGGAGTGGAGTGGAGCTGCAGCCAACCCGGGGAGGGGGGGAGATGAGGGTTGACCCGGGTTTTTCTATATCTATATCTATATCTATATCTATATCTATATCTATATCTATATCTATATCTATATATTAGCCATGAGGGTGTTGGTTCCCTCTGCCCGCCCCCCGGGGGTCCGGTGTGGGGCATGGGAGGCACAGCGGGGGGATGTGGGGGGATGTAGGGGGCTCAGCAGGGTCGCACCTCCCCACTCTGCAGAGCACCCTCCCAGGCAATGTCCCCCTGTCCCCCCCGGCGGGGACATGATCTCCCCTGGCCGTGCCACCCCGCGCTGGAGACACAAGGTCTGTCCCTGTGCCTTGGCAGCCAGCGGGATGGATCCCTTACCGGTTGTGCAAGGGATGGGCAAAGGCCCCGTTTCATCCCGCTCTGTCCATCCAACGGGGACAAGCTAAGCCAGATGACCTTCTCTCGCTGGGACAGCACCCCTGGTTGATGGCACCAGCCCGGCAGGGCTGTCACTGGTGCCCTGGCAGCCCAGGATGTGTTGTGGAGAGTCCCAGCACCGGTGGGCATCAGGGGGCTGGGACTCACCTGCCAGGAGGGATGGGGTCCCTGTGGTACCTGGCCATGGCCCTGCTGAGCTCCAGGTGGATGGATGGCAGGGCAACCTGAAGGAGCTCTGCTCAGCTCCAACCTCCTTTTGCAAAGCTAAAAAGCTTAATTTTGGCCAGCTGGGGGGAAGGTGCTGCCTGCACTCACCTGCTAGCAGCAGCCCCTTCTTCCCCAGGGCGGATGCACACAGGGCTGGGGCTGCTTGCTGCATCCCCTCGGCTTGACATGCCCCAGGAAAGCAGGGCTGGGGCAACCAGTCCCCTATTAAATAGCAATTTTCCCCCCCCCAGCCCCTTTTCCTCCTCCCCCAGGTGGCAGATGGGTGCCCCAGGGCTTGCTGCTTGGAGGCTGCGGGGCTGATTTTGGGCAGGAGTTGGGTGCTGGGCAAAGCAGGGGGGAGGCTGCGAGGCGTGGGGAGGCAAACGGCTCCAAATCCAGCAAAGCCCTTGTGAACAAGAGCGCAGGGAAAACTTGCAAGCGCATCGAATTTTCTCGCTGTGCCAGATTTTGTCACTGGCAAAGGCGCCCGGGAGGAGAGGCCCAGCACGGTGTGCCCTGCCAGGCTGGGGGGGAGGTTGCCCCCCCCCCGGTACCCACCGCTTGAGCCAGGGCTTTTTGAGTCCGCATGGGCCAGCACGGGTAAAAAACTTCATGAATGTTTTATATCTGGGGTAGAGGAGGGTTGGAAGCTGGGAACGAGGCAGAAAATTGTCATGTATCTAGCCATATGTTTCAACGGTATCAGTTTCTGGCTTGCTTGTCTGCCTGTCTGTGCTGCCCTCCTTGTTTTCCCAGCAGCAGATTATTTGGGATAACTCTGGGAGCTGGAGGGAAGCGCGGACTTCAGTGTGCGCGAGTTAGTGTGCCTTGCAAAAAAAAATCCTGCACAGCTGTAGTTGGGGCAAAAGGCCAGTTGGCTTCTCTGCCAAAAAACCTGCTTACATTTCCTCGGTGTCCAAAGCCCTCCAATGTTTGGGTGAAAACACTGGATCCCGCCTCCCCAGCACCCTCCGGCTGTAGATGAGCTCTTGGGTTCGTGGCTTGGAGGTGGCACGGTGATGGGGTGTGTGTCCCTCTGGAGAGATGGGGTTTCTCTTAGTTTAATTCTGGGTATTGCTGGTGGGATTCTGCCGGCAAGAGGCATTTTTTGGGTTGACTTGCCGCAGCCCAAGAAATGGTCAGAAAGAGGGAAAAGCGGCTGGGTGTTACGGATGGTGGCTGCTGTGGTGTGTGAAGGTGGTTTTGGGGTTTCTGGTCCATCTCTGCCTGTCCCTGGGCAACCCTGGGGCTGGTAGGACATCCTGAGCATCCTGGCCAAGGTGGGCTGGGGCTGGTAGGACATCCTGAGCATCCTGGCCTGGTGGGTACAGCGTTGGGATGGCCAAGCATCCAAACCCGGAGCAGGCCAGGGATAGATTTTGGAGTCACCTGCCAGCCTTGACTCCAAGATTTCATGTGGCCTGTTGCATCCCACCAGCCACACTGGGACTTTGGTACCTCTTGGCTTCTCTGTACAAGGACTCCTCACCACCATGTGACAGTGCATGTGACACCTGCAAGGTGATAGCTTCCAAGCTGCTGGTTCTCTTCATGTGACATCCCGGCCACGTCAAAACCAGCAACTTCCACTGAATCTGTCAGCTCAGAGAGCCCTGGGGTATCTCCCTTCCCTGCAAGTTGGGGCCAAAATCCTCTTCTGGTTCCAGCTCTTGGAACCCACGGCAGGGCAGGGCAGGCCACAAGCAGGGTCTGAGACATCCTCCACCATCATTCGGGGCGGGATGGTGACTCCAGCCTTTGCTGGCTGGACTTCAGAGGCTCTGCAGTAGGGCTGCGCGGGGGGGACCCATCCTTTGCACGGAAAGCTGAGCTGGAAGGATTATTATTTTTTTTTTTTTCCCCCCATCTGGCCAGGAGGGGAGAGCAACAAAAAATGCCTTTCGTCACCCTCGTCATCCTCGCTCTGGAGGAGAGAGCACAGTATGTGCTGGGGGAAGGATGACTGACAGCGCGGTAAGAAGCTGTTAAGCCCTGAGCTTGGGGGGATTTTGCTGGAAGTCACCCTTGGAGCAAGGAGAAACCTACGGAGCAAATGCTTATATAAACATATAGATAGAGATCTATAGGCTCCTCTGGATGGAGCTGAAGTGTATTGCACTGAAACAGCATTCAGGGACCGGCTGCTCCTGGGCACTGGGGGTGCAGAAGTCCTGGGGGGCACAGGGAGCATCTCCTTCCCCAACATCCTTGGACCACAGGGTTGGGGGGCTGCGGAGGGACACCCCCCCGACAGGGGATGCAACAGCAGAGAGGGCTGGCCGGGCTGGATTTATTCTTCTTGGAAGAAGCCGGGACATTTGGAGAGGGGAGACGTTTCCTTCCCGAAGGACAGCGTGGTGGCGAGCCGGTGGGAAGGAAGGAAGGAAGGGAGAGTGGGAAAGCGTGAGAAGAGCCTGTCACCCTTTGGATTTTGGACTGGACTCCCCTTAATGGGCGGAAGCTGGTTTCCAGTGCTGCACAAGCCCTGGGTTCCCTCGGCCGTGTGTAGTTTTGCCTCCTCCCTGTACTGCTCAGGCTGCCTTTGGCCCCACTCCCCTCCTCCTCCTCCTCCTCCTCCCCACCACCTGGACATTTTCAGCGGTTGATCTCCCTCCCGTCTGCCTGGGGCCGGGGGGAAGCGCACAACCGGAGCCTGCCTGGGGCTCCCCGGCTGTCAGGGGATGGGGAGGAAGGATGAAGGGATGTTCCCTGTGGCTGGGAGGGGAGAGAGGGATGCAGGAGCCACCCCGGGTGACAAGGGTCCCTGCGGCCACCGCGGCAGATGGCTGGGGTCAAATAACCTCATCCTGCAGCTCAGAGCGGGGGGAAGAGGGGAGGGAGGTGGTTCCTGCCCTTCGGCTGGGGATAGGGTGTCACCCCAGGTTGAGCAATGATGAGCCCCATTTGTGACGGTGCCTGCAGAGCTGGGTTGCAGGGTCTGTCTGTCCATCTGTCTGTCTGTCTGTCCACCGGGCTTTGTGCAGCTGTGCAAGCAGGGCAGGGTATGGTGGTGGTGGGGGGGTGTCTCTGAAGTTTCCTCTGGCCCGCTGGAGGCTTCGGTGCTCTCCATCCATGCGGTGAAAATTGGATGTGAAGGGGAATTATCACCTCCCCCAATCCCCGTTGGTATCCTGAGGGATTCTTTCCCAGCAGGCTCAGGTGGACCAGCCCCGGGAATGGTGGGGACCAGGTGGGCTGGGGCTGCTGGATGCACGTAGGGGGTGGGGGTCCGGAAGGTGATGCTGGGAGCAGATGCCAGGTGGGGGACTTCAGGTGGGGGGGCTCCCAACCTGCAGCACCCCGTGGCCCGGAGGGATGGCTGTGCCCAGGGTGGCACCAAGGGATGGGGACACCTGGGGGCAAAATCCCAGGGGATGAATCCCAGCGCCGGTCCCGGCTACGCAGGAGTGTATCCGGCGGCTAGTCCAAGCAGGAATGGGCTGGCCAAGAGCTGAGTCATCCCTCCAGCGTGGAGGAGATCCCCCAAGGCCCCTCAGTTGCTTTTAAGAGGCAGTAGCAAGAGCGAGAGGCTGCGAAATGGCTCCGCCGAGAGCTCGGCTTCTTAGGCGGCCTCGGCCTCCGAGGAAGCGGGGATGCTGGGCTCGGAGCACGAATTTCACAGACATCTGGAGCCTTGTGGCTTGGTTTCTCAACGGCTCCTTGGCTGTATTTCTCCTCCGTTTCGGAGATAAAGGCAGCGAGGGTGACCCTGCGGAGCGGGAGCCGCGGGGCTGGCCGCCCTCCAGCCAGCCCGGCCGGAGGAAACCGCGGCCCCGCTCTGTGGCCGCCGCCAAAGCAAATAGAAATGGGGCGTTAAACAATGCCAGGCGCTAACCCGGGGGAGATGTTGGCTGCCGGCGCTGTGGATGGGCTCCTCGTCTCCAGGAGAGACTTTCCACTGGCATCCACTGCCTCCTCTCCCCCTGTGCCCAGCCAAAACCCTCCCATCGGGCAGCCTGAAGGCTTCATCCACCCTCCTCCTCCTCCTCCTTCTCCTCCTCCTCCTTCTCCTCTTCCTCCTCCACTCCTGGAGGCAGGACCATCCTGCGTGCCTTGGCGGTGCTGGGGGCCAGGGCAGGGAGTCGCTGGGTGCTGTGGGAGGTGGGAGGGATGAAGGGCGAGGAAGAGGAGATGCCCAGCTTGCAGAAGCCCTCCTGCTTCGCCGTGGGCTCGCTGGAAGGATTTGGCTTAGTCATCCATCCCTTCCCTCGCTGGTAGGCTGAGCCACCGCTGAAAATATCCTGGAAGGCTCCCAAACGGCACAGAAGGCAAGAAAATGAGAAACACATGAAGGAAGGGAAGAAGGGATGGGAAGGGAAGGGGAGCGGGTGCTGGCAGCGGCCGGGGGAGTGGGGCTTGGGGCTGGCAGTTGGGCCACCCACCTCCCTGCTGGGGCTGGAGAGGGGACACCCCACCAAAGCCACCCCAGCAGCACCTTTGGGGAGGGGGCTGCTCCCTCGGGGGGTGCTGGGGTGCTGCTGGTGGTGTCTGTCCCCCGGCAGTGGCCTCGTCAGGGCTGGTGATGCTGCCCTTCCCACCGGCGCTTCAGGGCGAGCGCATAGGAAATTGCTCACCCCGAGAAAATGTGTTCCCAGCAGCTCCACATCCTTTTTGGCCTTCGGGAAGGGCTGGTGCCCTGACCTTTTTGGCCAGCACACGAGAGAAGCCCAGCAGCACTCCCGGCCACTTGCTGCGGGGCTTTCGCTGGGGCTTTTTAGCACTTTGATTTTAGCACTTGCCTGGGCTCCAAGGCCTGAGGTTGGCTCCTCGCTGTGTCTGTGTCCAACAGGTCGGGATCTGCACAGCTCCTGTCGGCTGCTGCCATCTCGTGTTGCTCCATAAATCAGTCCCCAGATGGGGCTGGCCACCAGCCTTGCCGTGAGGTCTCCCTGCTGGGGCTGGGTTTGCTTTCCTGCCCGCTGGGATTTGGGCGAGGGGCCGGGGGACACGCGCTGGCCCCTTCCCTGCCTGCTGCCCCTTTGAGCTGGGGGCCAAAACCACACCAACTGCAACCTGAGACCTGCCGAAGCCCTTGGAGAAGTTCCTTTCCTGTTCAATCACCGTGGTGGGATGGGAGAAAAGGTCCTGAGAGCTCCTGGGTGTCCCCTGAGCATTGCCCTCTGTCTCCCCACCCTGTAGCTCAGTGTCTCGGCGGGGGCTGTGCTGGGTTCCCCATCACCCCTGGACTGCCATTTCCCCCCCAAGCATCCCTCCTGCCTTCCCCTAGTTGCTGGGGAAGGGGTTGGGATGCTGAGGGATAGAATCATAGAATCGTTTATGTTGGAAAAGACCCTTGGGATCATGGAGTCCAACCATCAACCCTACTCTACAAAGTTCTCCCCTACACCATATCCCCCAACACCACATCTAAACGACTCTTGAACACATCCAAGGATGGTGCCTCAACCACCTCCCTGGGCAGCCTATTCCACTGTCTGACCACTCTTTCAGTGAATAATTTTTTCCTAATGTCCAGTCTAAACCTACTCTTTTGCAGCTTGAACCCATTCCCTCTCGTTCTATCACTAATTACCTGTGAGAAGAGACCAGATACCTGGAGGAGGGGCTGCCGGTCCCGGATGGGGAGGGCTGGGATCCCACACCCTCACTGAGCCACCCCTAACCCCCCTCTCTCCCCTGGTCCCAGGTCTCTCCCGCAGCGCCAGCCTCTCCGAGAAGGAGCTGAAGGAGGCCAAGGCGCAGAGCCGGAGGATCGCGGCGCAGCTCACCACGGCTCCCGGCCCCAGCTCCAAGGGCGTCCTGCTCTTCAACCGCCGCAAGCAGCGCGTCGACGGGCTGGCCGGGGCCGGGCATGGCGGGGGGCTGCCACTGAGCCCTGCGCCCCGGCCTCGGCAAGCTGCCATGGAGGAGGGCGAGGGGCAGGGGATGAAGGTGCAGCCCCGTACCCCAGGGAAGGAGCTGCAGGCAAATGCCTCCCCGTGTCGGGAGCCACCTGCTGCAGACCAGCAGGTCCCGCTTAGCATCTACCTGAAGGAGAACATGGCATCGGCTGCCACCACCAACGGTGTGCAGGAGCAGGCTGCTGGTGGGATGGAGAGTGGGGCAGGGGGGCTCGGGGATGTGGGAGCCCCTGTGGGGCCGAGCGCTGCAGCTCTCCCTCAGCCACAGAGCCCCGAGGAGGGGAAGAATGGCGAGGTGCCCGGCGAGGTGCCCAGTGCGCCAGCGGGCACGGCCACGGGGACGGCATCCCCGGCCAGTCAGGAGCAGAACGGGGCGCGGGGCCGGCAGTACTACGAGGTCCATCTCACCCTGGCCAAGCCCAAACCGGTGAAGAACCGGACGGCCAGACCCTTCGGCACCCAGGCATCCCCCACCAGCAGCCAGCCCACCGAGGGACCCCCAGCCACCGAGCTGCCCCCACCACCCACCTATGCAGAGACCCTGAGCAGCCCCCCGCCGCTCACCCGTGTCCGCTCGCCCCCCGCCTACTCGGCCCTGTACCCACCCCGGGAGCAGAAGATGCTGCCAGGTCCTCCTCTGGGCTATGGTGGGAGTGGACCGAACCCCCTGCCCAAAACGGGGATCCTGGAGGAGTCAGCTGCCCGGAGGGCCAACAAAAAGTCCATGTTCACCTTCGTGGAGAAGCCGAAGCTGGGCCCCAACCCCGATCTGCTGGACCTGGTCCAGAGCGCGGACAGCAGGAAGAAGCAGAAGGAGCAGGGGGAGCCCTGTCCCGAGGATGAGCCTTTTGCCCTTGGGGCTGAAGCTGCCAACTTTGTCCCCAACAGCACGGCCAGGGGTGGGCAGCACCTCCCGCCGGCCGATGATGCTCCGGCGTGGTCCTCCTGCCTCAAGTCTCCCACCATCCAGCCCAAGCCCAAGCCACAGCCCAGCCACAACCTGACTGAAGCGAGAGGGAAGGGGGCCGAGCTCTTTGCCCGTCGGCAGTCCAGGATGGAGAAGTTCATCATCGAAGCTCCCTCCCAGCCTGATCTGCTGCGGTCCCCATCGCCCACCATGTCCCTGCCTCCTTCCTGGAAGTACGACACCAATGCTTGCCTGTCACCCATGGTCTCCAGACACCCCTCCAAGAGTCCCTCCAGGCCTTCCAAAACCCCCCCGGCATCTCTGTATGGTGGCAACCCGATAGAGAACGAGGTCTCCCAGAAGGAGCTAGAGATCTCCAAGCACCAGCCCTACCAGCTCCAGTCTTCGCTCTTCATCCTCTCCCCATCCAAGGGGCCAGCGAGGTCCATGCCCCGGGAGATGCCTCCACCCAGACCCTCTCTTCCAGATGCCTACCCCTACCCCCAGCAAACCTCCTGCCCGACCTCTCCGTTGCCTCCTTCCCCAGTTTGGCATCCCACCGCTGTGCCCGGCACTGGTCAGACCACCTCCAGCCCTTTCCCTGGTGCCTCGGGGGCTCTGCCCCTGACTCACGGTAGCCGTGCCAGTCCCGGAGCCCCAACCGAGGTGCTGCTGGCCTCCCCGTGCCACCTGCTGCCACCCCGAGCAAAGGGGGGCTTCCAGGCACCCCGGCCCTCCTACTCCACCAGGAACGCCGGCATCGAGCCACAGGTGTGGAAACCTTCCTTTTGCTACAAGTAGTGGTGGCAGAGAGAAAAACACGGGGGTTTTAGGCTTCCCTCCACTGGCTGAGTCCTCCCCAACTGCTCACGGGTGTGCCAAAAGCCAAACCAACCACAAAAAAAGGGGGGGGAAAGAAAAGGAAATAGAAAAAAAAAAAAAAAAAGAAGTAGCTGGGGTGCTGCAGTACCGAGACCACGGATGAGACAGGCACTGGGGAGCCCCCAATGTGGTGGGAGCCAAGGGGTCCCAGGGAGGTGGCTGGAGCCGGGGGCATAGAGCCCATGGGGTCCCAAAGAAGCCTGCCTGTCCCACGGAGCACTTTCTGTCTTCTCTTGCCTGGAAACTGTGTGGAGCATCCCATCTCTGGCTCCGTCCTTTCCTCGCCTCCTGCCTTTCCAGCTCTCACAGCTGTGGGCTCTGCCTGTCCACCCGCAGCCCCTCCGTCCCACCGGCTCCTATCGGCCTCCTACCAAAGCCAACCTGGAGGGGACACACCGCCTTTCCACCTCACTGTGCCTGCTCCTCTCTCTTCTGCTGCTCCTTCAGGATCTGTCCTCCTTTGCTTCCGTGCGGCAGAGGGGAGCCGCATCCCTGGAGGAATGGGAGAGCTGTGGGGTCCCCGTCCCTGGGGACGAGGGCTGTGCCAGGGGGAGGATGGCAGGCGAGGGCAGGGCCAGCTGGGTGATGCTCAGCCTGATGCTCCTGGTCCAGCCCTGCCTCTGTCCGTCCCCCCACGGTAACGAGTTGCCTTTTGACTCTGCTTTTATTTCTCTCGCACTTTTATTTCTCCTGTGGTTTTCTTTTTTTTCTTTTTTTCCCCCTACCCTCTTTCTGAATACACTCTCTGCGCTGTCAGATCTGCCTCTTTTCTTTCCTGCTGGTGTGGGAGCAGCCTGGGGGGTGATGGACCCCTGGGGGTGGCATGGGGCAGGGGGGGAGTCTCTGTGCATCACCCGGAGGGAGGCTTTAGGAAACTGCAGGTAGTGAGAGGTCCTGGGTCATATTTTGGGCGAGGATGATTAATTGCAGACTCAGCCTGCCCTGACTTCCTTGGCGGGGGTGGGGGGGTGGTGCAGAGGCAAACACATTTTGGGGGAGCCCTTGCAGGGGGTACAACACATGAGGCTGCATCCCCAGTTCCTGCAGGGCTGACCCAGCTTTCCCTAGCACTGATTCTGCCCCTGTCCCTCTGCTCTGTCCCTTTTGTCCCCCCAAACCCCGAGCAGTGCTGGCACTAACCCACTCTCTGTCCCCCCTCCAGGAAAGGCGGCTCTCCCTCCCCGCCTCACCCCGGCTGCTGCGGCGGCACCCAGGCAGCCTGGACGGCTGGGCCAGCCCGGCCTCAGTGCCCGAGCTGGACGAGGGACCCCCCATGTCCCCTCCGTGGAGTGAGAGGTCCCTGTCCCCGCTGCGGCAGGACGCTGACCCTCGGGCCAGCCGGCAGATGCAAGCTCGGCTCGCCAGGAACATCATCAACGCTGCCCGGAGGAAGAGCTCCTCTCCCAAGGCCGTGGGGATGGAAGGCTCCCGGCCCTTCACCCCCATCCCCACCAGCCCCCCCAGCTTGCCCCAGTCCCCCCGGGCCGCACGGTCGGAGGGCTCCAGAGCCCTGGCCCCACAAGTTGCCCAGCTGGGGAGCCTGGGCAGCCCCTCGCCCACCCACAAAAGCCCCCTGCGATCGCCCCGGGCAGACGGTCCCCAATTTTGTGCCTCCCCCGGGATGTCCCGAGCCGCCTGGGCAGAGGGTCGTCAGCTCATGCTGCCACCCGGCGCGTCCCCCTGCCCCATCTCTGGGCTGTCCCCCGGCCCCAGGAGCCCCCTGGCATCCCCCGTGGTGGGTGGGCGATCCCCGGCCAAGCGCTGCACCTCCCGGTCCCCGACGGACTCGGACGTCTCCCTCGACTCCGAAGACTCGGGGGCCAAGAGCCCGGGCATCCACAGCTTCAACCTCTGCCCCCGGGGCTGGACGGGCAGCCTGCGGCTGAAGCCAGGGGGGCTGCCCTCGGGGGCCCCCTGCACCTCCTAAACGAGCCAGCCCCGGCTGGGCAACCATCTCCCCAGCCCCGCCAGCCCAGGTGATGCCACCCGCTGACCCTTCCAACCGGGAAGACCCCAACCCTCAGGGCTGTGGTCTCCCCAAAACCGGTGTCCCCGCTCCCCGGCGGAGCTGCCGTGTCCCCTCGGCATGCCGGTGGGGTCAGGTGCCTCCCGCCTGCCCGCCATCCCCTCGCCCTGCTCTATTTTTACCAGCCTAACCTTTTGGGGCAGGACTGCCTGGTCAGCAGGCAGAGCAGGGAACGGGGCGGGGGGGGGGATGCCAGCCCCCAGCACTGCCCCCCTCCCTCTGCAGCCCCTGCCCTCCAGCCAGCCCCATGCCACACAGCCAGGATGGGGGACAGGCTCGGTGGTCCCCTGCGAGCCCCCTGTCCCCAGCACAAGGGTGTCCCCCAGCTCTGCTTTCCGGGGGTGGGTGGCACTGAGTGGGTGCCCCAGCTGGGTACCCTCTTCCAGGCTGTCCCAGCCTCCCGATCTGGCTGGTTTCTATTGAAACCAGATTTTGGGGAGGAAGAGTTAATTTTTTATTCTCACCCCCCCAGTTCTTCATTGCTTTTTTTCTTTTTAAAAAACTTTTGATGCCTTCCCAAAGAAAATCCCCCCTAAATCCTTCAGCGGTGACCAAAAAGAGAGCCAAAGTTATTTATTGATTGCCACGTCAAGGGGACTGTTTACAGGTGCCCTCCTGCCCTGCCCAGGCGAAGAGGGGCAGCCCCAAACTGTACCCCATCACTGTCCCCCATCCCCACGCTCACCCCATCCTGTCCCCACCCCTGTGGGATGGAGGGGCACACGGGGACCCGGTGGGGGGCTCCGGCAGCCAGGGAGGGTGGGAGGAGGTTGAGGGGCTGGGAGGGGGGGGGCGAAGGAAGCGGTACAGGTTGCAGAGGGTTTGAAGGAGGTTTTGATGCAGGAGGTGATGCTGAGAGTGTCTTGGGGACATAGAGTCATAGAATATTGCAAGTTGGAAGGGACCCAGCAGGATCATCGAGTCCAACTCCCTGCTCCTCGCAGGACCACCTGAAACTAAACCACATCACATGTCCCCATGGGAGCCCTGCAAGGAGCTGGGGGGGGTGGGTGGACAGAGACCCCCCTGAAGGCAGCAGTGTCAGAGGGAGGTTCAGGGTGGGAGGGTGATGGGGAGAGGAGGGCATCAGGGTGGACACAGTTAAGTGGCAGAGTCTGGGGAGAGCAGTGGGTGCCCGGGAGGGCAATGAGTCCCCAAAGCACTTGTCCCCACTCAGGGCTGAGTTGGGGGGCCAGGAGATGCTGTGGCAGTGACTGCAGCCCCCCCACCCAAGGGACACAGCCTGGGTGCTGGTGAGACCAGCACGGAGAAAGGAAGATGCCTTTGGGCTGCTGGGGCTCTGGCTCCTTCCCCGTTCAGGGAGTCCCTGTCACCCCTTCCCTTTCTGCAGAGGACACTGTTGGAGCCACCCCACCCCTGTCCCCTGGGGTTCCCCTGCCCTGCAGCCTGCCCTTCCCAAGGACACAGCCCCCCACTTTGCTCCACCAGCCACCACAACCTGCCTTCACCACACAGTTGTATACCCAGCTCAGAAATAAACTGCCGTTATCCCACCCCGATTGCCTCCCATCTGTCCCCGAGGTGGCCTGGGCACACGTGGCACGTGGTCACCCCCCGCTGCTGCTGCGTGGCCACCACCCTGCTCCCCAAGGGGCAGCTCTGCTCTGCCAGGGTGACGGCATCCCAGTCCCCAAGGGTCATCCCTGCTCTGTGAGGGAATGCTGGTTCCCCAAGGGCCAGCTCTGCTCCCTGCCGGGGTGACAGAGTCCCCGGTCCCCAAGGGTCAGCCCCGCTCCGCCCCCTTTCTCGGCCAGAAATAACTGCTGTCCCACAGCCGGACCTTGGCATCTGGGCTGGAGCCCAGCACGGGTCGGGGCGAGCAGCGGGGAGCCCGGGGGTGCCGCAGAGGGCCAGCTGGGACCACCGAGCGCTGGTGGCTGCACCTTGGCTTCAGCCTCACCCCCAGCACAGCAGGAGAGCATCTTCGGTCCCCCGGCATCTGGGGTGTCCCCCGGTCGGGTAGAGGAGGTGAGGTCCAACGCTGGGTGCGTGGGGCTCGGGGACATCCCAGTCTCGGTGGTGGGGACTTCCCCACCGTGGGGGTCAGGGTATGGTCTCCCCAGAGGGAGTTGAGGGAAGGATGGGTGGAGGTCCCAGACTCACCGTGGGGATGGTCAATGCTGGACTCAGCTGGCAGGGAGCTGCGTGCCAGGCACCCACAGCCCCATGGGGACCTACTGGTCTCCGGGGCTCTCAGGGGAAGCTGCACAGCACCAGCCCCAGCTGAGGGACACCAAATGCACCAAAGAGGGCTGGACCACCATCCTGCTCCTTGCACTTGCTGAGCCGAATGCCCCGGCAGCACCCAAGGGTGCTGCTGCAGGTGGGCAATGAGGGGCTCAGACCAGGGATGGTCTCATCTCCAGCCACCTCCTTGCAAAGGAGCAACCCAGCCCAGCAGCCATGGACCCATCTCGCTGCTGACCGGGCTTGTCAGCTCCCTGGAAGGGTCGGGGTTGTGTCTTCTGTACCCTTGGGGCCAGTGGCTGAAAATAGCTCTGCTGAGGCGGAGGTGTTGGTGGGGTGGCAGCCAGGGCCCCTGCTCGCCCAGCAGGCTGTGGGTGCCACTCCGAGGGGGCTCAGGACACCAGGACTCTGACTCACTGCAGGCAAGGACAGAGACATTTTTTGCCCTAAAGAAAGGCAGAGAGGAAAGACGACAAGCAGGGGCTGAAGGGTGACATGCTTTGGATGCTTTCTTATGTGCATGGAAGGGAATGGAGAGCAAGATGGAGATGATGCTGACCAGGGAAGGTGTTCAGGGATGGTGCTATCCAGGAGAGATGCTCAGGGATGAGGCTGGCCAGGGGAGCTGTTCAGGGATGGTCCCGGCCAGGGGAGATGCTCAGCCAAAGCCTGGTGTCTCTCCATGGCACACCTGGGCTTGAGATGTCCCCATACTTGGTGTCACCCCTGGGGCTGCCTCTCTCTTCCAGCCGGGCAGGATCTGTCCCCCTCCCACAGAGCTGCCCCAGGAGCACAGAAGCAAGTGATGACCATCATGAGACCGGGCCCTGAAGACGGTAAGGGGGGGGCTGGGGGGTGCCTCTGGTCCCATGGCAGTGCTCCCTGCCCTGCCTAGAAGCCACCCAGCTCTGGTGGTGGCCACTGGTCCCACTCCCTGGAGCCTCTGTGCCTGCTTTCTCCATCCCCTGTGGCACTACAGCCCCAAGGGGCAGAAATTGCCTGTCAAAGGCTGGAGGGGGGTCTATGCACCGGGGCAGGAGAGGCTGTTTGAGCCTCTGGAGCTGAGAGAATTCTCCAACAATCCCCCCCACCAAAGAAATACAGCTCCGGGTGCACGGCTGAACCATAAGGGGCCCTGGGGAGGGGACAAGCTGGGAGGACAGGGGGTCCCCAGCCCTGCAGTGGCCTCAGCTGTGGCTCTGCTCTCTCCCAACCTCCCCAGCGCCCCAGCTGGACCTGGGCAAGAAGATGAGCACCCCACAGGACCTGATGATCGAGGAGCTCTCTCTGGGGAACAACCGCGGCTCCCAGCTCTTCCACCAGCGCCAGAAGCGGATGCAGCGCTTCGTCTACGAGCATCCCAGCAGCTACAGGGAGGTGGGTCTGTGACTCGTCCCCCGGCTCCGAGAGGGACAGCCCTTCCCTGACTCTCACAGCCCTTCCAGGGAAGCAATTCCTGGTGGGAATGAGGGGGTCTCAGTAGGGCAGCCACACTCAGCTGCTCGCTACGCCAAGATGAAGGATGGCTTGGTGGGCTGGGCATGGAGATGGGCAAGCATCAAAGAGCAAGGGGGACAGTCCCTCTCTGCACCCACTAACCCTTCTCTTCACCTCCTGCAGTTCTCGGGCCCGGGTGGCTCACACCGCACTGAGAAAGGCAACCCGGAGGGGACGGCAAACGAGTGGACGGTGAGTAGGTGGAGGAAGCTCTGAGGTGCTTTCAACAGCCTCCCGAGTCCCAAACGGGGCATGGGGAGGTCCCCACACCCGCTGACTGTCCCCTCTGCAGGCAGGAGAGGACGCCGGGGGTGAGCAGAGTTATCACTCTGAGCTCCACGTGGCAGCATCGCCCCAGGGTGGCCCCCCCCAGGTGCCCAAGAAGACAGAGAAAGTCTTGCAGATGAGCAAAGTCCTCAACCCCGACGCTCTGGCCCCAGGTAAATGACACGCACACCCCAAAGCCGACACCGTTGTAGTCTCAGTAATGTGGAGCTCTTTGAGCTACTGCCTCCAGAGGGGTCTTCCCCTAAACCCTCCACCAGAGTTTTTATACATATAAATATATAACATATATTTATCCTCTATACATACGTAATCCTGCCTCCAGCAGCACGTCCTCTCCTCCGTGGCTGTTCCCAGCCTCCCCTCCCCTGCTCGGGACATTGCCCCAGCCCAGCTGTGGCCACAGAAGCCCATGCCATCTCTTCCCCACACAGGATACTCAGGCCCCCTCAAAGAAGTCCCCCCGGAGAAGTTCAATGTCACCGCCATCCCCAAGGGCTACCGCTCCCCGTGGCAGGCGCTCCTCGGTGACAAGGACAACGCTCTGCCTGGCAAGAACCAGCTGCCCGTGAGACCCTCTCCATGGGACTTCAGGAGCTTCAACAGGTAATGCTGGCTGAGGAGCAGGCACCACCAGCCCGTCCATCCCTTGGCCACATCATTCAGCCTCAAGAAGCACCCACCATCCTGCCAGGGAAACGCAATGGTCCATGTTCCCTTGGCCACATCATTCAGCCTCAAGAAGAACCTGCCAGGGAAACGCAATGGTCCATGCCCTCTTTATACACCACAGGGGAGCAGCAAGGGCTCAGGTTGGTCTTTTGCTGATCAGGAGCTCATCTGTGGCACCTCTGCAAAGGTCCCTGCCTCCACCAGCTCCCTAGATCTCCTCTCAGCTCCACCACTGGCTTATGCAGCCTTAAGTAGCTTGACCTCACTGGGTAACCCCAGGCATGAAATCTGGGAGGACTAATTCTCATGCATGTGTTCCTGGAGAAGGAATCACTGCTGTTCCCAGCTGGGCTCAGCTCTGGGCCGGGTGGAGGAATGGCACAAACAGTGCCAAATCTCTCTCCTAATTTCCTTAAGGTATCCAAGCAGCTGCTGGAAGCGGTGGGGGTGTAAGGTTAATCTTCCCACAGAGTGCTAAGAGGTCACCAGATTCCTTCCAAACACCTGCTTGAGAACGAAGCCTCCAGGCTGAGGAGTTTCTGGTGGCTCAGCCTGGCAAGCTCCATGCCCTGTGGCTGCTGCCAACAGAGCATGGCTGCTGTACCTCCTCACACCTCCAAATCATGCTGGGGTCGAGGTTGGGACCCTGGAGCTGAGAAGACCAAGGAAAATCTCCTTTCTGGAAAGGTGCTTTCTGGGGATCCAGGAGATAGAGAACTGGTGGTAGCAAAGCACCATCAGCTCAAGGCAGAATGATGAGATCTGAACGTTAAAGCTGGACATCATCCCAGGAAATCTGCCAATTGAGGTTCTGGTTCTCCTCACTGAAAGCCTCTTTCATGAGGATGAAAGCACATTAGCCTTGGTGGCCTGGCCAAAGTCACCTTCCAGTAGGCAAGCTCCCACTGGAGCTCCCTACCGGGACACAGCACTGCTCCATGTCAAACCATCTACCACAGTGCTGGGCATCTGCAGAGGGCAGCTTCCCTCAGCCCACACCGGGGGTGGATTTGAGTCCCAGGGGACACATCTGCTGGACCTTGACTGCTTGGCAGAAGAGGTTGTGGGGGGCTACAACCCCTCTGTATGGGAATCACATCCCAAAGGGCAGAGATCAGCCCGACCAATAGAGCTGAGATGATGCTGCCACTGTCCCTTTGCTCCTCTCCCTCAGCCCTGAGGCTTTTCCAGGGTCCCTGGTGAGGTGTCCTCTTGTGTTTCCCCTCCCACACCAGTGAAAGCCTGGCAGTGCACTGGTTTGCACTGGAGTGGGGCTGAGGGAGAGAGAGAAGTGATGGGGTTAACGGGATGGAAAAGAACCTATGGGGCAGCGGTGGGGAAGCAAAGGGGCTGGGTTAGTGATTTCCTCAGGGTCTCCTTCCCAGCCACTGAGCCATCTCCAGCTTTCCTGGAGCAGCACCGTCCGAGGAGATGCTGCAGGGGGGAGAACAAGGAGCTGCTGCAGACATTTGGCTCTTTTCTTCCAATATTTAGCCATGTTCCTGCCTCGGCATTTATTTATGGACAGGGACTGAAGCAAGGGCATGTTTCTGAATAATGCTTTACCCCGTACCATTTTTCCCCTCTCAGATGTTGCCTTTCTATTTAAAGGCTTGGCCTGTTATTTAATACAGATGGATGCTAATTTAACACCAAGCCTCTCGCCACCTCCTCTAATTCTTCACCGAGGCATGAAGACTCAGAGAGCCAATCTGCTTTTAACTGGGCTTTTCATGGTCTTCCAAGCTATTGGCTTTTAAATCACTTCTCAGTTCATCAAATACCAAACTGCGGAAAAACAAGCTTTTTTGGAACAAAGCGGCTAGAGAGAAGCCAGAGGTCTTGCCTAAAGCTAGGTGAATCCCAGCACAGCCCACACGGGTCACAGGGCAATTTCACCATCTCAACAGCAACTGCTTTAAGGCAGATTGATTTATTCCTGACTTCAAACCTTCAGGCTGTGATGCAAGGACCTTCGGCCACCTTGCTAAGGTGTGCTGCCTTCAGAGAGAGTGAAAACTTCAGAGAGAGTGAAAACCAAGCTTTGAAAAGGACTCTCTTTTCCCAGAAGGGAGAAAGTTCCTGGAACAAACCTCTCTCGTTTACCTTTCCCCCCCTTATTTCTCCTCTGTTGCAAAACAGTGCCATGTTCCTCATGTTCGAGCAGCTCTTCCCAAAGCAAACACTCCCAGCTCTGCCTCATTGATAGCTCAGCCCCCGTGTGCTGCTCCAAAACCAACATTCTTGGCTCTTTGGGGGCTGGCACTCTCTTCCCCGGTCCCTTTCCACATTTCTCCAGAAAGAGATGACAGCTCTTGCCCCCGCACTGCTCCTCCCGTTAGTCATAGTTCAAGAGAAGCTGTCCCAAAAGGCAGACTGGAGCCAGGGCCAGGAGAAAGACATTTGCCTGCACATGTGCTGGAGCAATCAGGAGGCAGCACCATCAGCCTCATCCCTCTGCAGAACACATTTGCTGCGGACGAGTCACTTTCTAAAGACCAGGGGGGTTTGTCACCGTCACCTGCTCTTAACTTAAACCCTTTCACACGCAAAACATCTCTGCTGTTGGCAGAGACCCTCGGAAGAGACTCTGATAAAGGTCTCTCTCTCTATCACAGGCACCAAACCCTGCTCTGTATCTGCCAAAGCTTGGGTTGAGGTTGACTCTTCACAGGAGAAGCACTTCGCTGAGCTTGCAGAGGCCCTAACGGCATCCCAGGGAGGAAGAGGAGGGTTGTCATTTGCTCCAGGCATTGCTAGGCTGCTGCTGGGCTCACTTAGTAAATCCAGACCTCCTTCTTCACAGAATGATACAGGGTTGGAAGGGACCTCTGGAGATCAACTAGTCCAACCCCCCCGCCAAAGCAGGGTCACCCAGAGCAGGTTGCACAGGAACATGACCATGCCTTTTGAATGTCTCCAGAGAAGGAGACTCCACCACTTCTCTGGGCAGCCTGTTCCAGGGCTCTGCCACCCTCAAAGTAAAAAAGTTCCTCCTCATGTTTAGATGGAACTTCCTATGTTCAAGTTTGTACCCGATCCCTCTGGTCCTGTCACTGGGCACCACTGAAAAAGACCAGCCCCATTCTCCTGACACCCACCCTTTAAGTACTTACAACCATTGATAAGATCCCCTCTCAGTCTTCTCTTCTCCAGACTAAAAAGACCCAACTCCCTCAGGGTGTTCTAGTCTTCTAATCATCTTCATAGCCCTTTAAAACATGCCCAACCTCTCCTCCTGCCATGCTAAGTGTCCTCTTTCTCCTGCCGCAGGACTCCTGCCCCGTTTGACAGGGCACTGGTCAGCGACCTGTTCTCGGTGCCTGCCACCGAGCTGGACAACCTGAGCGCTCTGGAGGTGATCTCCTACAGACCCAACTTCAACAGGACACCCCAAGGCTGGGTGAGGATCCTACCGGAGAGCGACGAGCTGTAGACCCCACTGCCCCCCTTCCCCATCGCCGCGGGTGCTTTTCTGGCCAGACTCCGACACGCTTCGCAGGGGAGGGGAGAGTCTTCTTTGGGAGAGCTAAGCTGGTGGCCTCGGGTTGTCGTCCTCTCCGACGGGACTGGAACAAGCTCAAGTCTGGGACCATTTTGAATTCCCCTCGTGCCAGCCATTGTCACAAGGGCGTTCAGCCCCAAGGTAACCAGCCAAGTCCTCCTCCTTGATCCGAGCAGGTCACCGTAAGCTCCGGTACAAAACATCCCGTACAGCCTGTCCTCTTCCCTGGCCCGTGGAGAACAGCAGGACACCCCAAATTGTCTCGCTGCTTCTTCACCGGCACACAAGACCTGCTCCGACAGCTGCTGCCTTAAGAGAGAAATTCCATCCTTCAGGACACCTCTATGTCTGTCATTCCGGTCAGGACGGCGAGAGGAGGCGATAACTGAAGGGCAGCAGCAAAACACGTTAGTGGAGGCACTGGCACGTTAAAAGCACTCACCCTGGGCTTGGCTGGACAAGAGAGAGACAAGTGAAGAGCTGGGAATCCACTTGTTTATCAACACAACCGGGATACCTGGGAGAGGAACGTTGGGAGTTGGAAACTTGTGCCCCGTTTTCCACAAGCTACCAGCTAGCACTTGGCAGCTGTTACCTTCCCCTTCCCACCGCTATTCGCTTGCTTAAACACCCCAGCCCTTTGATTGACTGACGCCAGGTTTGCTTCGTGCCCTTGGGTCAACAAGGATCAGGCCCTGCCTGGACCCTCCGTGCTGCAGAGTTGTGCTGGTCTGAGGATACCACCAGGGTATTCCAGCAATTTTGGCATCAGTGGGAAGGAAAAGCGGCGCAGCCGTGACTCCGGAGCGAGCGCCGGCTTCTCCATCAACACAAAAACCAAGGTTTTCAGCAGTGACACACAGCGGGACATGCAGCCAACAACAGCCTGGAGGAGAGTCATCAGCACATCTGGAACACCCTGCTAATAAAACCCTCTAACTTCACACACAGGCTTCCTACCGTTGCTTTTGTCAGGTTCTTAACCTTACCCGTATTTAATCTTGTAAAAGTTGAGCATTGGCATAAAATGTTCTTTTTCCACCACCGCGGTTGAATCGGGCAAGTCAAATTTTGTGGTAAAAAAAGCAGCTAACGGGGGTCTCAGTTGTGGAGAGTGTTTGCAGTGCTGCCAGACTGATGCAGAGGAAACCCCACACGGGGATTCTGCTGCAGCAACGCCCCGTTCAGGCAGGGAACTTCCATTGCTCTGTTCTTCCCTCAAAGCAGGAAGGGACAAGCAAATGGAAAGAGAAAAGCTCTGTTCCTTAAACATAAAGAATTTATGATCCTGTTCCAAACCCCATCCCTCCTCCTCTGCCCATCAGCTGAAGAACTGGAAATAATAAATAAACTGCGATAATATAAAGCCTGTTTGTATTCAAGATCTGTCCCCCCAGCGCTCGTGGCTCCAGCTGCAGGGACTCGGGGCCAGAGTTGTGGCACACACCACAGCCCTCCCGTGTCCCCAGCAGCCCTCTGCCCATCCTCCAGCACCCCCCTGGGGTGGCTGGGACCCAACACACTGACCACCTGTACCCAAATCACACAGGACAGCACAGAGAACTAAAAGCAGAGCCTGTTGTCACTGCCAAGTCCCCATCTTGGCTTTGGCAGCAGCCACATAAAAAAATCCAAGTCCTCAGACAGGAAGCCAGGTCTAAGCAAAGTGTTGAAAAATCCAAATATTTTAGTTGTGCTCCAAATACACCCAAATCATGCTCAAAATACGCCCCGGAGAAGCTTGCAGCCACACTGTGTGTCCCCCAGAGCTGTCACCAACACAAGCCCAGCCGTGAGCAGCACCGAGGGGCTGTCACCAGGCTCAGAAGGCCACTGCTAAACTGTCACCCCACGTCACACCTGCACTACCTGTGGCTGCTCACAAGAACTAACACTTACCCTGCTCAGGACGGGCAGGGTTAGAGGTGGAGCATCAACAAAAAGTTTTGGTTTGCTTTGTTTTTCAAGAAGACGTCAGGAAAAAGGAGGAAAATTCTCTAGTAAGGCAAAGCCATGGGTTTGGCATGTCTGATGAGCTTGTTTTTCAGCTTGGTTTAATTCCTCATTAGAATAATAAGTCATTACCTGACAGACAGAGGAGTCTCTGACTACGTTTAAACCACAGAATCATAGAATGGTTTTGGGTAGGAAGGGACCTCAAAGATCATCCAGTTCCAAACCCCTGCCCTGGGCAGGGACACCTCCCACCAGACGAGGTTGCTCCAAGCCCCATCCAGCCTGGCCTTGAACCCCTCCAGGGATGGGGCAGCCACAGCTTCTCTGGGCAACCTGGGCCAGTGTCTCATCACCCTCGGAGCAGTCACAGAATCACAGAATCTTCTAGGTTGGAAGGAACCTTAAAGATCATCTTGTCCAACCGTCAACCTGACTGACAAAAATAGTCACCCACACAACAAACAAGGAGCATCATCACTAAACCATACCTCCCAGCACTTCATCAACCTGTCTTTTGAACACCTCCAGGGATGGTGCCTCAACCCCCTCCCTGGGCAGCCCATTCCAATGGCTGATAACCCTTTCAGTGAAAAATTTTTTCCTAATATCCAGCCTGAACCTCCCCTGGTGCAACTTGAGGCCATTTCCTCTTGTCCTGTCGTCTGTGTCTTGATAGAAGAGCCGGGCCCCCCCCTCTCTACACCCTCCTTTCAGGTAGTTGTAGAATCCATAGCGTTCAGACTGAGGACATCAAACGGGCTTGAAAAGGGTTTGGTTTTGTTTTTCCAGAAGTTTATTTTAAAAGTGTGCAAAGGGGATACACGGCGAGCACTGTAATTCTGGTACACCTGATCCAGAGACCCCCCCCAACAGCCCTTCTCTCTGCCCCCCCCGTCCCCCCCTCATGCCCCTTCAACACTACATGAAAGACCTGGGATGTATCAAGGACCCGATCGGCGAGCGGAGACACGGAGCTCAGCCTGCCCCGTGCCTGCAAGCAGGGAAATAAGGCTTCTCTAGCTCACCCACAGCTCAACGTATGGCGCTACCATGGTAACTAGAAAAATCACTTGTAATGAAACGATGAGGGTGGCAGCAGGACGTGCTAGGGGCTGCTGTGCTTCCCCGCGTGGGCACCCATCCTCTGGGGATCTTGAGAGGGGTAGTGAATGGGGCCTGGGGCTCTCATGAAGGGAGGCGGGGGCCCCATGGCGTGGAACATGTGTGGTCCGAAACCTGCAGAAACAAAGTTGGCAGCTTCAGGCAAAGCAACAGAAAAGGCACCGCGGACACACTGCTGCTTGGAACTACCGATGCAAAACAGCTGGCTCACAGCTGTGCCTCAGAAAGGTGACCACCTCCCGTGGCTCCTCCAATCCCCAAATTCCTTCCCCTCCTTCCAGCACAAGCCGGGGGGAAATCCTTCCCCAACACACATCCTTTCTCACAGATAAAAGTTGGTGGGGGGACTGGGCAGGTCCCGTAATGCCAATCTAAGTGCTTTCTGCTCAAATGTGGAGCAAAGCAAACACATCCACAAGAGCCTGACGTGCCATAAAAAAAAAGGCTCTCTGGATAGATATATCCACAGAGCCAAACACAGCCTGGCATTCAACCAGCTGCAGAATTACCCTTTGAAGTTCAGGTTAACGTGGCATTTACACAGCCAGCAAAAGCACCGAGCAGGTCTCAGTCCCAATCATCTCTGACATGCCCAAGAATTTGCAAGTGAATAAATACATACCACAACCAGCAGCTCAGTTTAATTAAACTGTGCTGACAGCTCGTTTTAGACCATCAGTTTACACCATATGATTGGGGATGAGGAAAATCAACTCAGGGCACACATCAGTGCTACAGCACAGCCCAGCAAGGAGGACCTAACACCAAGTTAGACACCCCCCTTGAAGGGGAAACACAAGTACCTGGAGGTGGTGGTGGAGCAATGCCAGGAGGAGGTGGCAAGGCAATGTTAACCACGGCTGGAGGGCCACTTGGAGGTAGGTTGAAGTAATTTGCAGAAGCCTCCTCTTCTGCAGCTGGAGGAGGGGGGAGAGCTGCAGGAAAAGTACAAGGTGGTTATGGAAAATACCTCCATGGGTTGTGACTGAGGTATCTGCCTTCAGAGGTACAATCAGCTCTTCCACAAGGGCAAACTGCTGCTGCTATTGCACGTGCAAACCAGAGCGAGGAGCAGGACTGCACTGAAACTCCACTTTTCTTCACCCGAAACCAGCTTTGTTTTTGCCTTCATACAACATTCAGTCGATTAGGAAAACATTAGCCAAACCTTGAAAAGCGTGGGATGCCAGTATCTCAGATCTAAATAACTTTAATTCAGCATTAACTTTTCACTCATCACCTAAAGAACTCCCTTTTCACCAAGAATTTGCTTCTAGACAAACCTTGCCCCCCATCCTAGTTGGATCTGCTGCAAACCTGCTGTAACTCTCAGCCCTGGGCTCACCAGTGCCTTTGCTGTCCTGAACACTGTTACTGCTCTCAGAGGTTTAACACCAGCCCCTCTCATGGAAGCACATCAACACTAAGTGTTTCAGAGATGCAAACAAGTCCCTCACCTCCAGGAAGTCCTGGAACTGGCTCCAGCTTTATTCCGGATTCTGTAGTACCTTCCTTGTCTTTTTCTTTTCCTCTTGCTGCCTGGGACCTAAAAACCAAACAGACATTTTAGGATTAGGATGAGAAAAGGCAGGATAAACAGATATTCACACAATAGTTTCAGATTATCTAATCAAGATCCATTGCTTCAGGCCAAAAATGAAAAAAGTACAGAATATGAGAGATATCTCGGAGACATATGGTACCAAGTCTAAAAACAGTGTTTCCTATAGCTGGATTAGAAGCAAAACTAGAGAAACTCATCCATAGCCCTCAGCCAGGAAACCCCTTACACAATTTGTGCAATCTCCAACCCAGATCCCACTGCTGAAAGAAAACCAAACCATAACAAGACCCTAAATATTTGCCAAGTTGGTATCTACTCCAATTTAATATCCAGTTCTGCTCTTAAGACTGCATAAACTGAACGAGGATGCTCGTGGCAGCATCCTCAAGGCTTCCTCACCCAACACTCACCTTCCCCATTTGACGTTGAGCCTGCGACCATTGACAATGAGTTTGTTGAAGGATTTCTCAGCAGCCACTTCTGCAGCTTGCCGGGTGGCAAACTGGATGAAAGCACACTGTTGCCTCTGCACTACAGTTATTGTCCGAATCTCCCCAAACTGGTAGAAGTGATTTCTGTGTGTGGGAAAAAAAAAAAAAGATTATGAAATCCCACTTCTCCTAGCCACAGGGTACATAGCACACAGCAGGATCTCATCATATGCTGAAACAGATATGCTCAGATCCTTTCTTTTCTCTATCACCAGTTCAGACAACCATTAGAAATGGAGTCTCTTGCCCTGCTGTGCAATTATGGAGCAATAAAAACTCCGCAGCAGCTTTTCTCAGCAGCTAGAGAGAAGCTAAGGGACTTTCTTGTAAAACGCGTAACGCAGTATCCCCAACAGCCCAGAAGGATGACTCATCTTTAAAGAGAGAAATTTTAATCAAAGCATTTGAAATGTGCCTGTTTATCTGTTCCCCAACAAGCTGGCACTCCTCTGCACTTGCCCACCAACCAGTTCCCCATTAAGGAAAACTGAAAGCCAGATTTTATTTTTTTTTCCTTGCAAGAGAGATTTCTGCACTTTGAGGTGAGCAGCAATCAAAGCACCAAATAAAAAGGCAAAGGTAATACAAATTCACCAACACACCTGAGATCCGATTCAGTGATAGTATCTCCAAGCCCTCCAACATAGAGTGTAGTAATAGTCTTGTCATCGGGGGGGTCTAGACGAGGCATGGTTGAGGCTCTCTTCAGGAGTTTATCAGCCACGGGATCGTTAATTCCATAGTAACGATCCTTGATGTTCTGATCAGCCAGCGGATCGTCTGGATCTGTAGGTTTCTCGTGTCTAAGGATCAGCAAACAAAGCATTTCATAACACCAGTCACAGCTGCATCAAATTTAAAGGACTACAGCTGCTGCCTTCCCTTCTAAAAGCCTCCGGTCGCTTATATGCTTAACCCTGTTCATATAAACATGCCCAAAATAGCCTGGAGAAGTTACATTGCAGCCAGGACTGCCTCAGGTTCTGAATGAATGGCACTTCTGACAGCTCCGTGTTCAGCGCTACAAAACACAAGAGCTGGATTTCAAAAGGCCTCTTGTTCAAAGACAAAGATCTCTGATTGAGGGGACTGACGCCACAAAAGGAAAAAATGAACTACGCAAGAGAAGTGCTGCAGTCACTGCTTCAGCAAAACACTGCACACTTCAGCTCATTCCTCACAGACCAACTCGGCACAATAAAGACTCATTCACTGTCTCTGCGTGACAACTGACCCCAGTTATGGTGTTGTCTCCTGTTCACCACAGCATTCCCTGTTCTCCCAACCCCAAGAGAACTGTTTCTGACCACAGAGAACAAATTAACTGTCTAAGCTGTGTCTGTACCTGTAGGGACACTCTTCTCCTCTCTTACATTCTCCTTTCACCCAAAAGGAACAGATGTGAGGACGGTTACGTTTATAGTAAGGAGTGGTCCGAGCCAGCTTCAGCAGCATGTCACTGGTAGAAGTAGCTTTTCCCAGTGCACCAACTGGTCTGGTGCCATCAGAATTGGATATCTGAACAGCAGTTAAAAGGAAAACGATGAGGTTTTTATCATCATCGAAAACTAATGCACAGATTCAGAGCAAGCAAAGGATTTTAAGATGAGCTGAGTCATTCCTTTTCATAAAAGTGAATTTAGCCCCCTTCCTCCTCTACACACACCCACACACGCAGAGTGTGATTGTAACTACACTTTCTCACCTCTCGCTCCATGTTCTGGGTGTAATACTCTTTATTGACATCAGACTTGGGCATTTCATCCTTAAGGGAGAGTAAAAGGAACAGATGTGAGGACGGTTACGTTTATAGTAAGGAGTGGTCCGAGCCAGCTTCAGCAGCATGTCACTGGTAGAAGTAGCTTTTCCTAGTGCACCAACTGGTCTGGTGCCATCAGAATTGGATATCTGAACAGCAGTTAAAAGGAAAACGATGAGGTTTTTATCATCATCGAAAACTAATGCACAGATTCAGAGCAAGCAAAGGATTTTAAGATGAGCTGAGTCATTCCTTTTCATAAAAGTGAATTTAGCCCCCTTCCTCCCCTACACACACCCACACACGCAGAGTGTGATTGTAACTACACTGCCTCACCTCTCGCTCCATGTTCTGGGTGTAATACTCTTTATTGACATCAGACTTGGGCATTTCATCCTTAAGGGAGAGTCCTGCATCCCGGACCTGAATAGGCAAACCTAGAAGAAAACAAAACAAAAAAGGAAAACCTAACAAATCCATATGAAGCACAAGGTGAAAGAGCAGAAATAGCTATTTCAACCTGCACTAGTCAGAGAGAATTCACCTACTACTCAGGTGTACCACGCTGCCCCTGAGCCCCAGAAGAGATCTGATCATCAAGACTTGTTCCTCTCTCCAGAGAAAACGATGCCAATTAACACACACACATCTAAAGACATTTCACCAGCTGCTTCTCTTAGTTCACATTTTTCAGTACACACCATATTCCAGGTCAAGCAGACAGGTTTGACAGACGTTCTTCAGCTTGCTGCACGTCTGACACACTTCTGTTTTCTTGAAACGCATCCGAACACCGGGGCACCAGCGAAACACCGTGAAAGGCCTGGCACAAATCTGAGAGACACAGAGTCCACACTTGTTATCGCTGTCACGCAGCAACGAAGTTACCAGTCTGATTCTTGAAAAGTAACTTAAAATCCAAACACATTTAATCTCTTAAAATCATAAATACAACTTCCTCATCTTAGTGCTAATGTTCAGACCTCGAGAAATATTTGTTTCTACTGGGTGCCTTAGTTTGACAGGAAAAAGTTTTAGAAAGGTTTCTTTCTTGTTGTTTTTTATTTAGTACAATAACCTGCAGGCTGAAAGCAGGTCCTACAAAGGAAAAATAATTTCTCCTTCATTCCAGGAGATGTCAGTATAGAGCTATTAAATTATCAATTATTTCTAAATTAGTCACTGGCACAGCAGCAAGCCCAGTGAGAGGTATGAGACTTTTAGCCCAAAAAATGATTACTGATCTCTGTCTTATCTGATGGAATGATGCATCTGTTTCTGCTGCATGTATGGTTTGAGGAAAGGAAGTAAGATTTCAGCTCGTACCTTCTCCCCACCTCAGATGACAACTGATAAAAGGGGCAAAAAACCCCTTGAATTTCTGTCAGTCAAGACAACACTATATAATTTTTGCTCACTTAGAAAAAAATGTGGCTTATTTCTTAGATAGCTAACACAAATCACCACCTAGCCACGAATAACATACTCACAGCCCACAGCAAAACCCAAATTCCAGTTATTTTTGCACCACTTAAGAGTATCACCTGAAATACGGAAATGCCTTCAAATATAGTGTAATATTAATAAAACCTAATTGTGATAAACATGAGCAAATCCTAAGTCTGCCTAAATAGCCTTCAATAATTTTACTACTTTAAGACTGACTTTGTCTAACGAAGGGCACAGAAGACTGACCTAAAAATTTATAGAGTTACATAAACATTTTAAATTGTTAACCCAGACAAGCAATTTTCTAAAGCTGACAGGATATTTTTTTTAACATTGAAATTTAACATTCCTTCAAAAGAAAACAAACATACCTTGCACTCTTTTCCATATTTTTCTTTGGTCTGAAATAGAATACAAAACAATTAAAATATGAAATATCATTAATTCAACATAAAACATGAAAGATATAATTGATGTTATAGCAAAGTGTTTTTTTTTCCTAGTTATGCTACATTTAGACTCACCCACCCCTATGTTTTGGGCTTACACCTTGGGGGGTCAACAGGACAAGAAAAAATCCTGAAAAAATCTCAATCCATTTTTGATTTCGAAAGATTCACTGAAACACAGTAACACAAACTCTACTTCGTGTACTGATGAAAGGCCAGAATGAAACGGATTCATTTTTAAGCAATGATGATGTTACATGAAATAAGTCCATGAAAATAAGCCGGTTTTGAATATCACTTATTCCAGCAGTAGGGTTACGTTTCTCAAAAATACCATAATTTATCTTGACAAACTTGATGGAATGGACATGTGAAGGAAAGATTATGTAAATGTAGGTCATACACAACTGGACTGAGCACAGAGAAAAGAAACACAAGGGCACTGACTCATATTGTAGAGAGGAAACCACAGTAAACAAGCAAGGATTTAAATTACCAGACTTCACAAGACAGTTTTAACTTATTTTTACAGGTGTACATCCTGCACATTTTAGAAATTACACTAAACTACTTAATATTCCAGCAGCTCCCTGTTCTCCATGCCCCACAATTTGCCAGTACCAAAGCTCTCTTTTCTAGTGCCTCCTGCACTCTAGACATTAGACTGTATCATCTTGTTCTCCTTTTTGACTGATTTGTTCTTAAATCATGTACCTAATGCTGTGACATCACATACCAACAATGGCCAGAAGGAAATCCTGTTGTGCAGAACCAACTAATTAGGGGTGCACGTGCACCTCAGCATCTGAATATTTTAGTTCCTGAAACTCAGCAGTTTTAGGGCCAACACAGAGGAAAGGAGTGTAGGGTCAAACAGGCACATACCATTCGAATATAGGGGTTTTCTCCAAGGCATGTCTGGCACAGAATAGGGAAATCCTGAATTGAGGAAGAAGAGAGAAAAATCAGGAATTTGCATCAAGTTCTATCATCGGAACTGCATTCGAATCATTGTCTGTGGTAATGTCTGTGGTAATGCAACGGAGTTAAACGGATGAGACTGAACGATACAAAAAGAGTCACCCAAAAGGGTCACTGGGATTGCTGTGAGCCACGACGCAAGGCCTGTATTGTGAAAAAAACAAAACCCATGACCTGCTCACTATCCCAGTTTGAATTAAAACTTAAAACAAACAAACAAGCACCATGTTCTTGAGATCTTCGCTATACAGCGACCTGAGGGCGCCAGATGACAGGCCTCAGCTCCCCAGGCCGCGGCCCCGGGCTCACGGCGGGCCCCGCTCCCGCCGTCAGACACCCCCCCAGCTACCGGACACACCGAATTCACCACGGGGCGGGGCGCCCGCAGCAGCCCGCTCCCTTTTCCAGCCTGTACTGCCCGTAGGGAGGGCTCCGGTAACGGTGGCAGCGCCTTCCCGGGTGGGGAGACCGCGGGCAGGTCCCGGGGGCCGCCCCTCCCACCCTACCCGCCCGATCCCATCAACGGAAGGCCCCGCCGCCCCCCGTGCTCACCGCGTCCTCCCAGTTCTGCCGGTTGTAGGTGTTAGAGCCCAAGGATGTCGACATGGCGGCGGCTGCCGCTCCGCTCCCCTCAGCCGCCGGAAACCGCCGCGCCGCTCCGCCTCCTTCCCGGCAGGCGGCGGGACCCGGAAGTAATGCTACTTCCGCCAGCGAGTAGGAGGGCGGCAGCGCTACAGCCGGGGGGGCGCTCTAGGCACAGCGAACCATAGAGCTGAGGGTGAAGGGGCGGGGCGGGCGGATGGACGAGACCATTTGGAGCGCGGGGGGGGACGGGACGACAGATTGGCTTTTTTATTTTAATTATTATTATTTTTTAACGAATCACAGCGTAAGAAGCAAGCCAAGAGCCACGGTTTGCTTTATTGAAGGGTCACTACACGACGTCAAGCAGCAAGGCGACAGCCGCCGTCGGGGAAATGGGGGGGGGATGAGGAGGGGACACCTCTGCTACCGCCTACAGCACCGACGGGGCGGGGGGGGACACACACACCGAGACAATTAGCCCGCTCACAATACCATTAATCAAAGCACCTTTTCGTTTCCGGTGAGGAACCGAGCGGCCCCGAGGGCTCACAGCAGCGTGGCGAGCGGAACAGCGCTTGTGGCGACTGGCGAGGGGAAGTTGGTGGCCGCGGGTCCCCCTGGGGGCAG